ATAATATGCTGAAAGTTCCTACACAGGTGCTCCAATCTCCAGTATATTATGCTGGAACTTTCCACGTGTTGGAGTTCCAGCATAATATGTTGAAAGTTCATACACAGGTGCATCAATCTCCAGTATATTATGTTTGACCGGTTCGTGTTGCAGCAAAATAGTGTCTATTTTTCAATGACTTTGCAAACGCTGACTATTTTTAAATTACTAACCCGAAAACTGGCTAGCCCGTGCTATTTTTACATCAAATACAAATTGAATGGCTAGAGGACAAAGGGCTTATGTAGGGTCCTAAATATTAAAGGATTTACCTATTTACAGTACAAAGAATTTCACATTTATATTAGTATATTTTGGTCTGTTGTAACATGGTAATTTGCCTTATTTTCAGGGTATACAATTTTTCTTTTTATAAAAATTAATTACTTGAGTTAATCATTTGGATAATCGGATAGTATGCGGATTCTTTTAATTTTTTCTTTGAAATTGGAAACTTGCAATTTCCTACTGAGAAAGGCAAACAAAGGGAGAACAACTACACATATCTTACTAGGTAAAGACTGATTAAAATGTATAGCTCGCGGGTGAAATTGTCGAGATAGATCACTATTGCAAAAGGAGGTAGAACGGGAAAAAATATATGGCCGCAAAAGTATCCACGCCCTCTTAAGCACATGGTTCTATATAGGTTCAATCGTTGTCAATTTATAAAAGTCAAACTCAAAATTGAATTTGCTCTTAGATATTTGTGTTCAAGCAAATTATGATGGGGGGATATTGGATTTGATCACAACAAAAGAGAAAATGATAGAGAAGGAAATGCACGTTAAGTGCTTCTTTTTTCCTATTCAATGGTCCAAATTTGAAAAAGAGTAATAAAAGTCTCAAAGCGAGGAATAGATCAATAAATGGTTCACAATTAATCCCTAAAGTTTAAGACTAAAGCTTAAAGGACTAAAACAAAGGTCCCTCGTGTTGATATTGACATATTCAATTGATTAGCTCGTAAGTTGTGACTAATTAGATTCTTTAATTGAATAATAATTATCCATGCAAACTTTTAATAATCATCGCAGCTGCACTTTTAGTTAAGCTTCAACTTAAATTGGACAATGACATATTCAAAGTACACTAAGCTTTTCTACCATGTTGATTGGTGTAATTCTACCTAGGTAAAAAACTTAAAATGTTTTAAAAGGAAAAAAGGAATATAATTGATTATTTCGTACTGTTATTTGTACATTGATATCTTCGTTCATTTATCTAAGATCTAATGCCTCGTACAAGGTCCTTTGCTAAATTGATGTCTTTGCTCAGATGCAGAATTAATGTTTTTGAAAACCAAAATATAAGCATTATTTACTAATAATTCCTTAAAATTTTATCAAAGGTATTTCAGCCTAATTAAATACTGACAAATCTAATCCTCAGTGACTAATTAAGTGCATTAATACAATAATCAGGGACGGAGCAATATTGGTAGAAGAGGTACAACACAGTAGAAGTAGTAGGGTTTTCATTAAAGGAGATTAAAAAATAAAAAATTAAACAAGCAAAATAGCCAAGGGAATTCACCAACATTTAGCATACATAAATTAAAAAATTAACTTTATATACACAATAGAATTTCTCGGCAAAGAGAATTCGGATAAACCCTTTTCTGCTCCCCTAACCGGCCTTGGTTCATTCAAATCTCCTTCATCATAAAATTATAGTGTATTTAGGTCAAAATTCTTGTATATACATATATATTTGACATGAGAGAAGCATCTACTATTGTGACAAATGGGGTTCAAAAATATGATAGGCTCTCAATCTTTTTAGCTACCAATGTGAGGCTATGTTCTCACATCCAACAATCTTTCCCTCGAACTAATTTCTATGTGGCCCATCATCACGATCCACAGGTCTCCTCCTCGCTAAGTTCCACGTGGTCAATTATCACGATATGTGGGTCAATTTTCGAGATTTGCCATATGCAGAGGCGGACCCAGGATTTGAAGGTAGGGGGTGCACTTTTGGATTCAACCAAAATCTACTTTGTATGTAGGGTGCCCACTACTAATATATCACTATTTTCTAACGACATATATATGTATACATAGAATTTTTGTCGAACTTCATGGGTGCCGGTGACCCCTCTAGGCATTGGGTCTGTCTCTGATCGTATGCCACCCACATCATCAGAGTGTTTATGGCAATTGCAATTCCCAACTAGCTTCTTGTGGTGTGCGTGTCTCCAAGCTCTTAAGGGTAAGCAAATTGAGCCCCACACCTTCACTCTACTAGCCATACTCGTGATATCAAATTTGGCCTCTGATACAAGTTGTCGGGCTCAAGTCGCCCAAAGACGATACTCTTAATATTTTGTGATATTGTCTGCTTTGGACTAGCCCGCACAATTTTTTTTAAAAGTCTCACACTATTAAGAGATTCCTACATCTTATATGAAGATTTTAATTTTTCCAGCTACCAATGTGGGATTTTATTCTCACACCCAATAAACATGTAACCGAATAGTAAAACAGTAAAAAGATACAAAAATAATAGGTGAAGATGATATGTGAATGAATTTCTCCATCTGAATATAACAAACAACCTCAATAAGTCAATAATACTATTTTGTGTTTGTTGTTTTTTTGGGGAATTTTCTCCAAACTCCTAAAACTGATGTAAGCAAAAGAGAAGATTATAGATTATAATAATAAGTTGTAAGGCATTAGAGACATTTCCTTTTCTTAGGCATTTTCTTCACGGAAATATATGGAGTTAGTAATCATGAGTCCTCTTGTCATCATTACCATACTTGAAAATATTAGCCTCTCTCTTTCTTTTTATCTTTCTATCTCATAAATTACTTTCTCTTAAATTGTATAACCATCTTATTTAAAAAATTTAAATAATTAAAGAGATTACACTTTTATTTACTTATAAATTATGTGATCAATAACATCACATTCTCTTATAAGTGAGTTAAAATATTTTCGTAAATCAAGCACGTAAAATATTTTTTTGATAATAAGGGTCGGTAAGACCTGAACCGATGACCTCTATTCAGATGAGGATGCATCATAGAAACAAATATTAAAATTAATTAGAACTCGTAATTTTAAAAATGCATAATACGTTCAGGCTAAAAATTCTCAGAGTTCGAATTCATTAAGTTTAAATTATAAGTCCGTCCTCATTGTTTACTCTAATATTATCTTGAAACTGTATGATCATCTCATCTTCCTTGTACACGCGAAATAACAACAAGGTCCACCTATTTATAGGATCTCATTACCTTCACATTTCTCTCAAATCTTCATTTCATTTCCTTATTCGAAACTTCTTCTTACTCTTCTCTCAAGTAATTAAAACAGAAGAAAAACTGAAGAAGTATATATAAGAAAACCACACACAGAGAGAAATGTGTATCAGTTCTTCAGAATTGAATGCATCACGTATCCTTTACATTTCTGGCCAGAAACAAAAACCAAAGCGCTCCAGAATCCAAGTTCATAGGTAACTTTACACAGTTTATACTATTCCTTTCTTTTTTCTTTTGAGCAGTGGCGGAAGCAGAATTTTCACCAAGGGGGTTCAAAATTAAAAAAGGTAAACACGCGAAGAAACTAAGAGAATTCAATATCTAATATATTTACATGAAAAAAATTTGACCTTATATACACTGTAATTTTCGGCGAAGAGGGTTCGGCTGAACCCCCTTCCGCACAGCTAGTTCCGCCACTGCTTCTGAGGTGTGACTTTCTTGTTGCTTTCTCTATGCGTATAATTTATAGAGACACTAACAACGTAAATAAATTTTACACTATCATTGTAATTTAATAATTTACCGTGTTTTGCAAGTTATCAGTTCATGCTTGCTATAAAAGTTCAGATTTAAGTTATATCCACTGACAATATAATTTTTTTTTATACTATCGACAGTTTCATACTATGATAGCAGGTTAGCTGGCTACCATTTTATTATGTTACCAATTAATGATTATTATAGAGATTCATTTGTAATTACCTTATAAACGACCTGATTGTTTGAATATTATTTTTGCACCATCAGTACATAAAATTAAAACTCTAAAAGTTATCTAAGTGACCCAGATTGTCGGGTAGGCTGTCTACATCACACCCTTTGTAGCGGGGGTCGGCATAAACGACGCGGGATAATTTGTGCATTGAGCTGCCCCTTTATTAGTTAAACTCTTTATTTATTACATGATCAAAAGTATTTTGGCTTTTTAGGAGGAAGAAAAGTGAGGAAAAGGCAGCAGGGAAGGATATGGAATTGAGAAACTTGAAGCTGTACATGGAAAACATGAGCATATTAGAAGAAAATGAGAAATTAAGGAAGAAAGCCAACCTCCTTCACCAAGAAAACATTGCTTTAATGTCTGAAATTCAGAAGAAATTTTCTCAGTTGGATCGAATTTCCGCCACCGGCCTTAATCTGCTTCTTCGTCATAAACAACCATATCAATGAAGAATTAGTGGCGGAGCTAGAGTATTAGCTACTGGTTAGGACGAACCAATAGCTTTTGCTTAAACTCTGTAACTAAGACGAGCTATGAGTTTGATATCAATTTTAGAATTCATAAACCTCAGTTCTGGTTCCGCCTCTATAACTATATGAAGAAAACCCTTGCTTCATTTATTGTAGCTTTTCTTGCTTATGTTCTTTGTCTCTCTGTCTCTCTCTCTCACAAAAGTTCTGCTAATAATAACTGTTATATTATTGAGAAAAAATGGATGGCAAATAATATTTACCATGTGTCTACTATATGTCTCATTCAAACTATATATGCTACTAATGATCTTTGTAAACCACTATGTTTATAGACAGATTAACTTATCTATATTGACACAGTGTAAAAGATATTTTACACAAACAATATTATGTTTCAATTCCAAACAAGTCGGAATTTAATTTTAACATACTCAACCTGTTCCAGTTTATGTATATATACTAGTTCCGTATTTAGGGAGTAAAACCCTTCACGTTAAGAAACTCTTCATTCTTAGTTCACGAACTCAAGAAGAAATCTCAATCATTTCACCGCGCATTTGGTGTTAAAAGTCAGGGCTATTGTCTCGAATATGTTTACAGTTTAAAAAGTAAATGTGATTTAAATCTGTCAAAGCTAATTGTGAAGTACACATAAGTTCAGTCTATGACCCTTAAAGGACGAACCAATCAAATTCAAATCTTGGATCCGCTTCTGATTTCTTCCCGAGATAGAGCTCAGTCCACAAAGGTATCAGCTTGCTGAAAACTTCTTAGTTCTTCCTATGAACCCACCACTTCATCGCATTCTACACATCGTGTAGTCTCAGTACGAGCCATATTTACCTCTTCCTATTATTGTTTCCAGTGAAAACAATTCAGGGATAGTTTACCTAAGCACTACAATGCATAAGAGGTAAACAGCACAAGTTACCAGTTAGACGCAGAGATTTGATCCGATGAGGAGACTGGAGAAACTGCACTCGGCTATACGCTCACAGCTCTTTTGACTGCTTCTGTGATAATCTGTATATCCGGAATGCTGCAAAGCACATTGTGGCATTACCAATTGCTGTCAAAGCTGCTTGGAGAGCCACTACTACCTGAAAATTCATGCACGAAACGTAAGTGATATCTCCATAACAGAGAAAATGTTCTGCTTTACCCAAGATTTTAAGCCTAAATATTATCGACAGCCTATAAGCAGAGGCCCAGTGTAGAAGCTATGAGTTCAACTGAACCAATAGTTTTCGCTCATATCCTGTATTTTTGCCCAAAAAATCATTAGATATGTAGAAATAATAAATTTTGAACCCATTAAATTAGATGAGATGTGGTAGAATTGCGAATCTGAAACCATAAAATTTAAATCTCGGATCCGCCTCTGCCTACAAGTGAATGGGTTAGGCGAGATCAACAAACATCTTCCTTGGGAATCTATTAGAACATTAACCTGATTACATAGGGCTTAACATATTTTGTAAAGATTATTCACAAGAGAATATGAAGGGGCTTATATCTAAACCAGGCTGCGTATTAGGATAGTCAAACTGTCATATTATATACTCGGCTGAATGTCACTGCAATCATTATTCCAATAGAAGTTCATAATTTTCGTTCTAGGAAAAGAATTACATCTACTTACCTCAAGAGACTCCGAATTATAAAAGAAATGCCAAGTGCAGGCGCAGAGTGCTCCTCCGAGCAGGGGCACCTAAATTAAAAAGTCGTAATGAAGTCACTTATGAGCCAACAAGACGCAAGGATGGGGAAAAAAGAAATGGAGATAAGTGCAAAATGATCAAAGAGAATCATGACGTGATAATTCAGCGCGACCAATTCACCAATTAAATAAGAAACATCATTTACGAGCCAACAACAACAACAACAAGGCCTCAGTCCCAATCAAAGTTGGGTCGGTAATATAAATCCTCATTTCTTTCTTTAAGCTCAACTCATTATCATCATGCCAAAATAAAATAATAGTATTGAAAATAAGCTTTATATATATATATATATAAAATTGTAAATTTAAAGCCTATTCCTAACTCATAAGTATCATTTACGAGCCAACAACTGCGCAAAAACAAAGGACGAAGATACTGAGATGGGGAGAAAGGAATACTGAGATAAATGCCAAATGATCGAAGAGAAACATGAAGTGATAACTCAGCATGACTAATCAAACAAAAAAATATCACTTTGTTGAGAAAATATATATTTTGACAACCCGAAAAACTCTCTTCTTGAATGACCTTTTTTTTGTCTTGTCATTGACTACATACTATTAAAAAGAAAATCAATAATAAAAATCAACAAAATTTAGACATTTGAACTATGTTGCCCATGTTTATGGGAAAGGTAAGAAAATGAAAAAGGAAAACTAAAGTGCGAAAAGTTATAAACTCCATGGATAGCTGCCAACTATATGAATCACATGTACATGTTTTCTGCCACCACTCCCTATGAAGCATTTCACGGATGGAGAGCAATGTCACTAAGGTCGGCCAAAATCCACAAGTTTAAATTTGTATCTTGGTTGACAGACCTGTTTGGAATTGAGGAATAGTTGTTATTGTTGCTTTGGGCTGATGATAATATTGGAAAATATAATAAAATAAAGAAAAAAAGACTTCATAAACACCCGTACTTCTCCCTCAAAGAGTCATCCATGAATCAATCAGAACACTACTATCCTCCGCAAGGTTTGGGATCGGTGGAATTGAGGAAATGGATTGGTGGGAGATAATCAGAATCATCAAAGAATGATAATTTGACTGCAATAAGGGGCGACATTAAACATATTCATTTCAGCCTCTTATTGTTTGTGTTTATTACTCTTTGGTAATAAAATGCTGATCGGCTAATTGATTAAACTCAACCACAATCCACAAAGAGAAAATTAAAGAAAAGAAGTTTAAAGGCCTAAAGCATCTTAGCACGGTCATACTATAACAAGTGAAAAGAGTTTACATATGAATATAAATAAGAGAACACAATTTTTTAATTAATAGGAAAGACAGTTCTGGCTTAACTGGTAAAGTTGCTGCCATTTGACCAGGAGGTCACGGTTCGAACCGTGGAAACAGCCTCTTGCAGAAATGCAGGGTAAGACCGTGTACAATAGACCCTTGTGGTCCGGCCCTTTCCTAGACCCCGCGCATAGCGGGAGCTTAGTGCACCGAACTGGCCTTTAACGGTTCTGTGTTTCCAGAAGAACACTATTTAATCATAACAGCCATTTCTATTGCACCACATATAGGCCCTGATCAGATGTTCTGCGACTCTTATATAACAGCAAGGAGTGCAATGTCGCAAAGCTTTGCATGTAGTTCTGCTTTGACTCACTCTACATAGTTCACATATGAATATGCCCAACTTATTTTTTTTCAAGTTCTATATAGTACATAGCATGAAAATTCTTGTCTTTTGAGCAACAAAAATATATCAAAGACTGTTCTTTCTGGAGTACTTTGAGTTCAACTGCCTATTTACGACGCCAAATCTACTAAACTGCCATCTCATTTAACAACAGTTGAAACAAAGATTGAGAAGGGCCAATATAGCATTCATCATCAACCAAACGGAAATTTGACACGCAATGTGATAAGTCATTTTCAAAAAGTATTTACAGTTAATGTGAAGCTCATTGACATAAAGCAGATTCAATATTGCAGGCATAAAGAACAGAACTTGAGCAAATTAAACAAACAAGAATGAGCAAGATTACTTACCATAGCCCAGGAGAGTCCCTTCCAAGATTCATACCCTGATTTCTCCCCGTATTGCCAAACCAGAGCCATAGCAGTTACCCTTTTGTACAAAGTAAATAATCAGTCATTTCATTTAGCACAAAAGAAAAAAGAACATATGAACAGATCAACCCGCCAACCCCATACTGCGAGGAAGTGCATTGCACATTATAATACTCCTCCTATCCCAATTACCGCAATTTTCAAGAATTCAAATTCATTATATTATTCAAATTTATATATGATGTAATAATTTAAAAGGGAAGTCCGATGCACGAAGCATCTTGCGTTTACGCAGGTCCAGGAAAGGGCCGCACCTCAAGAGGGTGTGACGTAGGCAGCCTACCCCCAATGCAAGCATCAGTGGCCGATTCCATGGCTCGAACGCGTAACCTATAGGTCACACGGAGACCTATTTGATGTAATATTTTACTATCTATTAAACTAATCTTTAAACTATTAGTTATTATTTTCTTTAACTAGCACTAATAGGAAAAGGGTAGAAATTATCCCTCTTTTATACAAATATCTTAATTTTACTCTTCGTTATACTTTGAGATGATTCATACCTCGTTAGCAAACTATCTTGTACTTGCCCTTGACCCTAACAGAGCTAAGTGTAACGGAGAATAATTATAAACAACAGTCGGAAGTAGAGGAGTAAATTAAACACTTTTCCTCAAGTATTTTCAGACACTAAATTCACTAACTCATGTGGGAGCTTCTTTAAAGTCAAGGGCAAACATGAGGCGATTTACTAATGTCAAGAGTACGACGACCCCAAAGTATAATGGAGGTTAAAATTAAGATATTCAAATAGTAGACGGGTAAATTTGGACATTTTACCTATAATATTAATCGGGGGCGAATCCATAGCATATGTTACAGCGTATTCTAAGCCCGGTAGCTTTAGCTCAAACCTTGTACAGGCGTTTAAATACTTACTAAAAGGGCAGCCCGGTGCACTAAGCTACAGCCTTACCCTGTATTTGTGCAAGAGGTTATTTTCACGGCTCGAACACGTGACTTCCTGATCACATGACAACAACTTTACCAGTTATGCCAAGGCTCTATTTCCTTTTAAATACTTATAAATTAGTAAAATAATAAATTTCGGACCAATAAATTAAATGAATGGTGATAGAATCTCAAACGCATAAAGTCCAAATCTCGATCCGCCTCTAATAATATATGGATCAAATTAAAATCATAAACTCCTTTTCAGACAAATATCAACAACAACAACAACAACGCAGTGAAATCCCACATGTGCGGTCTGGAGAGGATAGTGTGTACGTAGACGGGGTCTGGAGAGATAGTGTGTACGGAGACCTTGGCCCTGCCTGCAAGATAGAGAGGTTGTTTCCGAAAGACCCTCGGCTCAAGAGATATGAAAGGAACAGTAAAAAAAACAAGCAATATCCACAAATAGGGCCAGAAAGATAAATATAATCACATAAAATGAAAAAGAGAAATTACCACTCAACAACACTAGAAACATGACTAGCCCAAGTGTGTAATGAGAGAGCATTTGAGGGTTCATTAAATTGGAATGAAGAACCCATTAAAGCTAATTCAGAACCAGAGGCAGGTCCCACATTTAACACTGTAAAAGCAAGTCCAGTGACACCCAAAACAATGGCAGCATTATATTTCAAGTTCTGAGATGGAATACTGATAATGGGTGCTGGGAATTGGGCTCTTTTTCTTGAAAAGAAGAGAAAGTTTGGAGCTTGAGTTGATAAGGTCAATTGGGTTTGTTTTTGTTTTGGAAGAAGGTGTAGTTTTGAGAGAGATAATGAGGTTGCAACTGCCATTGTTGTTTGTTTGAGGACTACTAAGTGGAGTGTTGGATTTTGAGTAAAGATGTTTTAGATAAGAGATAAAATGACAAAAATGTCCTTTATGACTTATGAGTAAGCATTTAAAAAAAAACTAAATTGATGAGTAGTCGACTAAAAATAAAAAATAAAAAAACATAAATACAGTTTGCAGTAGTAGAATATTTTTGGACCACGTAAATTGTAATTAGGATTACTGATTTAAATTTGGCCTAATCTGTTAAAAGCTACCCAATTCCTTTATCCATCTATTAAACTATTATCTTAGTAGTTTTAACGTACACATGTTGCACATTTACCTTTTTCGATAAGTAGTAGTATTTTTTTTTTAAATCACATAAATATTATATTAAAAATTATGTTTGAGTTATAAAGTAAGAGTTTACGCACTAGACAGTCTGGTTAACCAGACAAAACTAGAGGAGATCGTGTCATACAATTCGTGTGTAAGAGGAATCTACTAGTTTTAACATATGCGTGTTGCATGTATACCGTTTTTTATAAGTAATTTTTTTTAAAATCACATACGTAAATTAAAAATTATATTTAAGTTATAAAATAAGAGTTCGGTTAACCATACAAAACTAAGGGAAAGAGGAAAAGGAACTTCTACGTGTTAGATTGTTCGTGTATACAGGGAAAAAATCCGATTTAAAATGGATGGTGTGAATTTGTCAAATGCTCGACAAGCCGCTATATTAACTTATTAAGGGACAGTCAAATGACAAAGATGCCACAGAATTAACAACAATAACAAACTCAGTATAAACACACAAGTAGAGTCTGGGAAGGATAGTGTGTAAGCAGACTTACCCATGTCTGAATCACAATACCACAAACTGAAGCTTAAAACTTCTATGAATGTGAGCTCAGTATGCTTATGAATCCCTTAATAATACAGGTCATTTGTCCAAAAAGTAATACAATGGCAATTGAAATCTTCAACAAAGAGCCTTTTGGGCAGCACATTTCTTGAAAAATTACAGATGGAATGATGAGGAGAAAAAACACATTCCACATAAAATTTTGGTGATATGATACCATCTTTTAATTGTAAGGTTCTTGACACTACAAGAACTTTCACGACGGAGATTTTTTCAAGATCTCCTCTTTTTTCTCTTTTTTTCTGATAATCGAGAAATCCCCTAAGGTCAGCTGGTGCACGGTTCGAACTTGGTGGATAATCTGTTTAAGATCACTTTTAGAAGTATAATATCTTATATCACCCAATAACAGTTTCTTTCTTCTTAGCCCACAGCATTACTAGAGAGAAGCCCATTAATGACATGATCACAACCTGCAAAAAGGGTACAAATCAGACGTTCTAAGAAACACAACAACAACAAACCCAGTATAATCCCACGAGTGGGGTCTGGGGAGAGTAGTGTGTACGCAGACCTTATCCCTACCTTGAGGGTAGAAAGACTTTTTCCGATAGATCCCCGCTCAAGGAAAGAAAAAAAGAAGAGATGTTCTAAGAAATGACTAGAAGTATTCAGAACAAGCTAAGGAAAAGTGAGCATATGTTAAAACTACAAGCTTCAACCTTTTGTCACTAATGTTCACCAAATAATTAATGCAGTGGAGAGTTAAACTAAGGACTTTAACTTCTATACACTGATAGTGTAAAGAATTTATACGTTATTAGTGCATTTTACCTGTTATAGCAAGTAACCTGCCTTACTTACCAGATTACTAATTGCATCTACTAAGGACGTTTACTTGCTGTTATCTGATAATCCTAATATCACATAAATAGATGTACCGGTGTCCCGTCAACCTAAAACTAAACATCATAGAAATGAGCCACCTCTTTCATAAAAATGACCCAANATATATATATATATATATATATATATATATATATATATATATATATATATATATATATACTGGAAGTTCATTAGAGTTGATGTATATTAAGAGAACCGAACCCAGTGTTTCGAGAGACGAATGGATGCATTGGCATTTGCTCCTCAAGTTACATCCTATATCCGCCTCTGGTATCAGTACTTGTATCATAATTAAGATGAAAAGATATAAAGCTAATCCTTCGAGGCAATTTTGAGTAATTAGAACTTTGATTAGAGAGCTTAGGCCAAAGACTATAATTTCACTACTACCAAATCAACTCTCCTTTTTATCTTCTACAATACGGAAGTTCATATAATCGATAGTGTACTTACTGATATAGCTGGAGGGACACCAACAAGAGGATCTTGGAAAAACTTATTTGCAAGAGCAAGGGCAAGAAGGCTGCTCTGCATGCCTGCAAACGAGACGTAGAATGACAACATAAATCAAGATCCAATAAGTGAAGGTTGATAATATTAGGTAAGCTTTCAAACCTGTTTCATATGACAGCGTTCTTTGTAGAGGTTTGACGTCTGGTGCTTTGTGGAATGCTATGCCGGAAAGTAAATAACCTAAGATGAACGCCGACAAATGAAATGCAATCATAAGCAACAAAACAGACATTCCAGATGGGGATACGAGAGACTCTATGTTAATAGCAAGCGGAGCTCCAACACAAAGAGCAGTCACAAAAACTGATAGTGGAGGCAACAGCGGCCGAATTGCATTACAAATCCGCGGAAAGAATCTGTTGAAGCGAAACCAAAAGTCATAAGAGTGAAGTTCGGATTGTAGAAGGATACACATAATGAGTATTCACAACATCATTACCTATTCAGAAGCAGTCCACCAGCAACAGGTGCAACGACAATCTGCAGTATGTTGGAAACCATTCCCTTAACATCCACAGGCAACTTTTTCCCAATAAGCAATAACGATAAAATAGGGGTGACAAAAACAGCAGTAGCTGTTGATAATGATGTCATCACTATACTAAGAGGGGCCATTTGTGGATCAGTTAGAAAAGTAGCGTAATTTGACAGCTGTGCTCCGCTAACACATGAGGTCAACATAATCCCTGCAGCTGTGATACACAGCTCACAGAACTTTAGCCAACATTGAACATGCTATTTTCTTTCCCGGTAAAGTAATCAGAGATTTTACCTAAGGAAGTTGGAAGACCAAATACGGTCATTGCAAGTGTGCCGAAAAGATACCCGAGCAGGGGCTTCACAGCAAATTGACCAATATAACCAGCAAAAATTGCAGCTGGTTTCTTGAAAGCTTCAAGAAAGTCCTTTTCACTTGAGTTGACTCCAACTGCAAACATTAAAAACCCCAATGCAGGAGAATAGTACCTAGAAACGGTAAACGACATGGTAACTATGAGGTTAAAAGATGAGGTTAAAAAAACTAAGCAATTTGGACTCTTTGGTTTACGCTCTGCAACTTTTCGTCTCATAGTACGGCTCTCTAGCTTTCCTAGCTAGACAATGTGAGAGTGCAATATTGAAAGACGAACTTTTTCCAGCATTCAAGTCTATACCTCCATCCTTTTCTAGAGGTGTTAAATGGGTACAAAATTAGATATTTTCATGGAAAACTTTCAACATGATTCTCATGTAAGATGGTATTACTCTCACCTCTCGCGCAGGTCTCTACCTCACCTCTTGTTACAACTAATGGTAATTGGCCAGACATAGAAGTCTCAATATACATTTATGAGGATAAGTCAAATTATATGATCAACCAATGAGATGTTCACCAAGCGTTATAAAGATTTTCTTTTTCGTCAAGAATGCCGTTAATTATTTGAACAGGCAAAATTTATATAAGTTTCTTCCTGCAACCTTGTCTTTAATACATGGAAGGCACTTGTTTTCAGCGAGGCTTAAAGTAGATAACATGAGAGACTTGTGGATAGAACAAAATCATTTAGAAAATTGGCATCGATCGAATGATATACAAACCTGTTGGTAAACCACGTAAAAGAAGGTGGATATATAAGAGCCAAAATTGTGCTACCAAGAACCACGTGGGGCAGAAAAGAGTTTGCTCCCTTCAAAATTGTCAAAAGAGTGTTCTCTTTTTGTTTCAGATTCTGAAATAGCACAAATTCTATTGTTAAAGATAGTCAAATCCCACAATTCAGAGGTGGGCTTCGAAACATCCAAGAAAACAACTTAAACCCTTCTTTACCCTATTATGTTTTTCTTTTCCTTTTCTAAAATATGGGGACACGCAAATTAGGTTTAAGAACAAAGATGTGAGGTATTCAGACCTTTTAGCTTCACAGGTTCAAGAGAAAGAAGCGTTAGAGAAGAGAAGTACTGAAACAATCCAAACCTTCACCTTCTATAGTAATAAGAGATAGTACATCAGCTTAATGGAAAATGAAGTGGCTAAAGGAGCAAGAAATTTTGCTTTCTAAATCAAATGCTTCTCATATTTGGGACTTTATACACATAAATAGAGAATACACATAAATAGAGAATATTACCGATCAAGCTCAGATTTCAAAGAAACAATGTTATTCACACCCGTACCCAAAAATGGTTTTTGCCAATAAATTACAAGTCTCTAATTGCTCTATTCCACATACAAATACAAGTCAAAGCCAGAAACATACAATTGAACTTTGAGTAGAAAGATTGAAAAGTTCAAAAGGAAAACCTCAAGTGATTCAGAGTCACTAGGCCCAAGCGAATCAGAGAACTTTTCTGAGATACATCTACTAATTAACAGTCTTGAATTACCACCTATACAAAAAGATCACATTTATAAGTAAGGAGTACATCAAAAAGAGCTAATTCCAAGATCACTATAATAGTAAAGTCAGAAAACTATTTTTTTGTAGCAATGTATCAGTAAAGTAACTAAATTTTACCCAATACAATTTTATGACTTTACTGTAGCTCTATAACGGTAAAGTTACCTCCGTGTGACCTATAGGTTACGGGTTCGAACCGTGGAATCAACTACTGATACTTGCATCAGCCTAGGCTGCCTACATCATTACCCCTTGGGGTGCGGCCCTTCCCCGGACCCTTTTACCGTAGTTTAGTGACCATACATGAAATTAACCTCATTATTAACTAAACTTGAGAAGCAAAAAAGATTCAAACTTTAATCAAAGTACACTACAATTGGATACAAAAACACTTGCCAATGTGGATTGCGTAGTTGATCAAAACCCCTTTAATCGTACCCCTTCAAGAACACCGGTATAAGTTACACCAATTCATCAAAAGGGACTGTAGAAATACACTTGATACTGAAAAAAGATCATAAAAATCTGTTTTTTTGTTTTTAAATCAATCGTATCCTTCAAGAATCCAAGTACAAATTGAACTAATTCATCAAAAAGGACAGTAGAAATACACTTGATACTGAAAAAAAGATCATAAAAATGTCTTCTTTTTTTCTACTTACAAGTCAAACAACAACAACAACAAAAAACCAGGTGAAGTCCCAAAAGTGGGGTCTGGGGAGGGTAGCGTACCTTACCCTGCCTTTTGAAGGTACGAGATGTTATTTCCGAAAGACCATCAGCTCAGCAACAGTGAAAAGGAAGCAATAATTTCTACTTACAGTATAATTGGATTAAATTCTTCAAAAGGGACAGTAGAAATAAACTAGATACTGATAAAAGATCATAAACGTTTGTTCTTTTTTCTACTTACAAGTTACAAGTATAATTGGACTAATTCATAAAAAGGGCCAGTAGAATTATACTTGAGACTAAAAAAATAATCATAAAATCTCTTATTTTGTACTTGAATTAACAAACCTGAGTGGAAGCATTTCCATTTCTTGGGAAAAGAAACAAAAGGGTGTTGGTCAAAGCAAGGCAGAGATTTCTGATGCAGAATCTTGAAGCCTTGATGATACTGCTGCTGCTGCTGAAGAAGAAATTTACTATTGAGACTCATTTTTCTTTTTAATCTTAATTTTCAGACAAAGTAAAGCGGATTTTTGTACAGTTTTTGGTGTCTAATTATATGATTCAGTGACCCAATTTTAGAAATCAATGAGTTGATTACTAAAAATGGAAAGACTACGGAGAATTCTTTTCTCTCCCTATTTAGGGACCAAAGCTCCTAGGCCCTAGCAACCTACACCAGAAAGCGGGCAACCGAAATCGGCGGGGAGATTTTGTTTTTTATTTCTCAGGTGCTGTATTGATTTTTTTTTTAGCGATTTTTATACGGTCATATTAATTATTTATTTTTTTTTAGTTATATACATAGATCATATTAATTATACACACCTAATATATGAATTATATATTCATCGGCTATTTTTACTTTAAGTGGTAGGATAGACAGTTATTTGAGTTACATGGATTTATAAATACTTGTAAAATCAAGGCGAGAACACTTTACACGGTGCCTTTATATGATCTCTAATTAAACTATAATATGAGGATATAAAATCATATTGTTATAAATATATTATATTATGGAAGTTCATTTAGTACTCCGTTGTAAATAAATTTCTTGAAAAAGCTAATTTATATGAGACTCCGCTGTAAATATATTTATCTATTTAGTACTCTATTAGAAATAACTCTCCTGAAAAAGCTTATTCCTTCGGTACCCCATTATTGATAAATATCACCCCCGATAGAAGATTATCTATATCTGGTATAATGAGCTTATCCTTTCAGTACCCCGTTATGGATAAATATCACCTCCGGTAGAAGATTATCTATATCTGGTACAATGAGTTTATCCTTACAGTACCCCGTTATGGATAAACATCACATCCGGTAGAAGATTATCTATACCTGGTACAATGAGCTTATCCTTTCGGTACCCCGTTATGGATAAACATTACTCCCGATAAAAGATTATCTAATATCTGGTACAATGAGTTTATTCTTTCGATACTCCGTTATGAATAAACATTACCCCGATAAAAGATTATCTATATCTGGTACAGTAGCAGTTTACACAACAGCTTGCAGAAGCAACTTGCTTTCTTTTATAAATAGAAGAGATTTCAGTTCATTATGTACATAAGTTTGAAGTTTGAATAATATATCAGTTTCTCTCTATACTTGTCTTTACTTTACAATCTTTATTTTATAACACGTTACCAGCACGGGACTCTGTCATCTCGAGCAAATACTTTGAAAGTATCAGAGGTACGAACTTTCTTTTTCTAAATAATGTCAAATCTTTCTAAATTTGAATTTGTAGCCCTGGATATATCGGGCAAAAGCTACATGTCTTGAGTATTTTATGCTGAAATTCATCTTGATGTGATGGGTCTGGCAGACACCATCAAGGACAAAAATCAAGCATCAAACCAAGACCATGCCAAAGCAATGATATTCCTATGCCATCACCTTGACGAAGGCTTGAAAATGGAATATCTCACTATTAAATATCCAGTCATAGTGTGAAATAACTTGAAAGATAGATATGACCACCTGGAGATGGCCGTTCTTCCACATGCACGTTATGATTGGACTCATATAAGGATATAAGATTTTAAATCTATCAGTGAGTATAATTCTGTTATGTTCAGAATTATTTTCCAATTGAAATTATGTGGTGATAATATTACTGATCATGATATGTTGGAGAAAACTTTCACCATTTTTTATACCTCAAATATGCTCCTGCAGTAGCAATATCGAGAGATGAGATTCAAAAAGTATTATGAACCTATCTCACATCTTTTTGTAGCCGAGAAACATAATAGGTTATTAATGAAAAATCATGAAAGCCAACCTACTGGTTCTTGTCTATTCTTTGAAGTGAATGAGACGAACTTCCACCAAGTTAAGCATGGAAGAGGACGTGGCCCCAGTCGTGGTCATGGGCATGGTCGGGGAAGAAACACTAATCATGGTAATAATAATGCACCAAATAACCCTCCTCACCACCATCAGTGGAAAAGGAAAGAATGAAAGCATGAAGCGGTGTAAGCAGCAAATGCAAAAAATGCATGCTATAGATGTAGAGGAAATGGGCATTGGTCACGTACATGTCATATGCCAAAGCACCTGGTTGAGTTGTATCAAGCCTCCCTGAAGAAGACAGAGAAAAATGCTAAAGAAAATTTTATTTCTGATAATAATTTAAATTTCATGCATTTGGATGTAGCTGATTACTTTGCACTCCCGGAAGGAGAAACAATTCATGTGATCGGTGATGAATCCGTAGAAATGTAAATATTTTTATTTTTATTTTTTGTCGTAGATAATATGGTTATGTAATTGTTGTACATAAATAAAAGTTATGCTTTGACAATGATGTTTACTATCATATTTATTTTGTTTGTTATTTTAAAAAATATGGATAATCCTCAAATTATGTTTGGATCAAAGACCAATCCTGAAGATATTTATGTAATTGATAGTGGAACAACTCATGCCATATTTGTTTGCCCGTAAAACGATACAGTTAAATTTGTTCGTGGTTTCTAGGCAGATGAATCAATTTGATCCAAAGATAATGAATTAATTGATTAGATGTAAGATACTTGGCTCAAAATGTAGATGAAATGATGGATTCGAAGAGCCCGTGAATAAGGTTTCCGGACACAATGATGTTAAGATTAACAAGCGAGAAATAGAGAAAAAAGGTATCATATTGTTGTGTGGAATTTAGTCAATGTATTCCAGAAAAACATGCCTTACAATGATAGTTGAGCCTATTATTTATAGCTTAGTGGGCGTATTGGTCGGGCCCACCACTAATGATAATTATTAGAGTGTGATAATAGAAACCTAATGGTAAACATAAATGCTCAGATTTCTTTAATAAGTTGTTACTCTTTAATGCTGTGGAATATTCTTCATTAAATATCATCGGACGTAGCATGCTTAATGCCCTTACGAACTTGCCTTTCTCGGTGACACACGAGGTAGTTGTGCCCGATTTTCCATCCTCCCGATTTTGATTCCACGTGTCCCCTTCTTAGGTGGCCATGAAGCATAACGTATTTTACCCAATACACATAGCCCCCCTGCTTTCCGGTGACACGATTTTGTGTTATGGGTAAGTTGGTGAGAATCCTCTTTTGGCGGGAATTACTAGAATCCCTTTTGTAGGGTACTGATGGTTGATTAGATGCCTATCTCCCCGCATTTAATGCCTAGAACACGCTTCCTCTTATGATTAAGAACGCCTTCTGCTGTCGAGGTAACTAGAGCCAAGTATTTTAGCCGCCCAAAAATTTACCTATACGTATCAACTCCCTTTTCCTTCGTGTCTTACCAGTTGCTTGAACTTCCAACCTGCATTCTTGCTCTTCATCTCTTCTCTAATTTTTTCTAAACATAGAATTTCTTCTTCCCCTATTCTAATGGCTTCTTAATCTAAACGTTATGGTTCTTCAAAAAATAAGAACAAAAATAAAGATTTTACTCCCCCAATAGTAAGTTCCATAATCCCCAATAGGCTCAGTACTTTGAAGGATTTGGAGGAGAAATTTCCCACTGATAACCCCCGTACATGGACGGTTAGTAGGTATCCATCTTCCATTCGTCATTCCAGTATCGCTATTGTGAAGGAAGACTGTTTCTGCCCGAATTTGGACGTCATCGCTCCCGACCTATCGGAGCGAGTGACCCTTCCCAGAGAGGGTTTCACATATTTTTACACGTACCCTTTTACCTTGGGTACGTTCTCTTTGCGTGGGGAGCTTGATTCCGTGATAACGGAATTTTGCCTTCGCTACCAGGAATGTTTGGCACAGGTAAGCCCCTCCGTGTGGAGGACGGTTGCCTGCATTCGGCGCCTGTGATTTTAAACCAGAGAAGAGTTGACCCTGGCTCATATAATGAATCTGTACTCCCCCAAGATCTTCCGCGGGGGGATGATAACACTTTGCAAGCGTGGTCACCATGCTTTGATGTTACACCCTATACGTCCCAAGGTGACGTATAATAAATATGAGATTTGTTAATTATGATTTAAATGAGTTTAAAGTCATAATATGACTATATGTGATGTTTGGATAAAACACATAAAGTTTGGAAAAAATCGGAATAAAGTTGCGGAAAAACCGACTAAGAATTTGCCTTATAACAGAGCTTTTTGATAAATACATTTATTGTGCTATATGAGGTATTTTTCGGACATATTATATAAAAAATTGAAGGTCTTGGAATGTAGTTTCCAACGCTCTTAACCGTTCGTTTATACGACATCCGGATAAAAATATATAAGCGTCGGAAGATGGGCGAATGAGAGGGTGCCAAGCTAGCACCTTTTGACTTTTCAAAAGTTTGATAAATATGTTTTAACGCGTCTCTATATCTCTTCATTTTACTTAGAATATGACCAGAGGCACCATAAAAAAATAGTCCTCGAGCTCTCTAATAGCTTCAAATAATACTAACATCTCGGGTATGAAATCGAGAAGCGATAACATCAGAAGATCCCTACGACGTAAGTATCACTATATCGTCTCTCTTTTTCTTTGTAGTTTGAGTTTTGGAATGTATTTAATAGTTAATAAAATTCCTAATTTCTGTATTTAAGCTTTAAAATATCAAGAAAAGTTGATAAATTTCCTAATAGTTAGACCTCACGGGACGATGATTGGAAGCCGTGAGTTCGAGTTATTTGACTTGTAATGGACTGTTTTGTGGGCTATTTTGTGTTGCTTTTGGGCTGTCTATTATGCTTCTGATTTATGGAGTTTGGAAGGATAAACATGGCATGGAGAAACTCCATATGTGATAGGGTAGTAAGTTGGTCGCTCGTCGTTGTAGTTGCAGGCTAATTGATAACTTGTTAATTGGGTGTATTATGGTACATTTGGGGTTTTTTTTGTATTGAAGGTCCCGGATTATAATTAGGTTGGTTTTGAGTTGTTGATTGTATTATATTTGTATCTCGCCTATAGTAGGCTTGAGGGAGCAGTAAAATCAGGGGAAATGCTGCCCGTTTTATTTTAGAATCGAGTTATCATTTGAGATACGTAATATACTACCGCTATCTAAATTGTACACATATTTATTTGCTATAGGGTTGACGCGCTAGTTGTCATAAGCTTGTTGTTGATTTGCATTGACGACTTGAGGTATGTTAAGGCTATCCCTTCTTTCTTTTTGGCATGATCCAAATGATACAAACGAAACGAGCAAAATACGCAACTTTCATAAATGACTCTATTCATAGAAATACTAGGGGTGTCTATATTCTTGAT